AAGAAGGAAGAAGGAAAGAAGGAAGGGAGGGAGGGCGGGAAAGAAATTGGTTAGAAGGCAGAATCACATAAATAAATCCCATGACCTAGGTTCCGAGAACAGCAACACGGGGAAACTCCAGTGAACTAACACATCTCAGCTCATCTCTACAGGTACAGGGAATGAGAAAGCAGCCGCAACAAAGAACTGAATGCAAATTGGAAGCAATTAAGTGCAAAGCTATTTTTTCAGTACTTTTAATATAATAATAACTTGCTTTATGAAACAGCTCTGGTTTTACTTATATAACAAACCTGCACATGTACCCCGAACCTAAAATAATTTTTTTTTTAAAGTATATAGTGAGTGTGATGGTTAATACTGAGTGTCAACTTGATGGGAGTGAAGGATACAAAGTATTAATCTTAGGTGCTGCCAAAAGAGATTAACATTTGGGTCAGTGGGCCAGGAAAGGCAGATCCACCTTTAGTCTTGTGGGCACAAACTAATCAGCTTCCAGTGAATACAAAGCAGGCAGCAAAACTTGAAAAGGAGAGACGGGCCTAGCCTCCCAGCCTACATCTTTCTCCCATGCTGGACGTTTTCTGCCCTTGAACATCAGACTCCAAGTTTTTCAGTTTTGGAAACTGCACTGGTTCTCGTTGCTCCTCAGCTTGCCGACAGCTTATTGTGGGATCTGGTGATTGTGTAAGTTAATACTTAAATAAAGTCCCCTTTATATGTATACACACACACACACTATATATATACACACACACACACATATACACACACACATATGTACACACACACATATATATACACACACACACACATATGTACACACACATATATACACACACACATATATATACACACACACATATACACACACACATATATACACACACACATATACACACACACATATACACACACACATATACACACACACATATACACACACACACGTACACACACACATATATATACACACACATACACATATATATAGCCTATTAGTTCTGTCCCTCAAGAGAACCCTGACTAATATAGTGAGTAAGTAAGTTAATCTTTGTTGGTAAGTCTCTTGTTATAAACACTCTTAAAGATGTACTGGTGGAGATTCCTTTAAGTGCCCTTTATTTTTAACAAAGTATTCTCTTTTCTGTTTTTTTTTTTTTTTTAATTTATGTTAAGGTTTGGTTCACTGTTAATAGTAAATGACGTCTCAAATGCTTAGACATCTAGCTGATTGTAAAATGTTAGCTAAAATGGATCTTCTCTTGAAACAGTGTTGCCAGATATTTAAAAATGTATAGAAATTACATTCTTTTTCTGTTTTTTAAACCATCATTTTTACATTCTGAGTTTCTGGAAATTGAGGTGCAGCTGTATATAGAAACCCTTGCACTTAATTTCATTTCTAGTTCACATTCTATACTCGTCTCTTCTCATTATAGCAATTACCCTTAAAATCTAATTTCCTTGGCTTTATGCAGTCCTATTGAAACAGGCACTGAATTTTAAGAGAATTATTTCCCCAGCAATGCTCTTTTTTTTCCAGTCTTATAACTATGGAAGCAATGAAGCTGAGGCTGTCATGTAACTTCCTGAATGACATGAGATGCGGAAAGGACTCTGAGCAAGATAAATCCTCTACCGTGGGTCCTTCAAGGCCCTTGGAAGTGTGCTTAATTTCCACACTAAATAGTAGAGTGTGGAATTTTGTCATTTGCCTTGCTTGTATCTACAACAGGTTGGGCAATGGAAAATCTTCAAATGTGGCCTATAATAGAAAAATCTTCAAATACATGTGGCCTATAATGTCCCACACATATTAGAATATAGCTTAACTCTGAACGTACACATCATGGGCTCTGAAAGGTTTAGAATACATGTTGTTTAAAAAATGTAAAGATTTTATCTCAAAGTCAAATTAGCTATGCTTTCCCCCCTCTTTTTTTGAGGGAACAAAAGTAATAGTATTTCTTATGTAAAAAAGAGAAGAAGACTTAAAATGTTCACTGTAGTGGATGCTGTGGTGTGCTGCCTGGACATTTCCCATTGTTGGGAGTATTGGTGATTAACAATTCTCATTCATTTAGTTGCTTTCAGGGGTTGCCCTCAGCCATAGAGAACCAATTACACCAAGGCTACAACCCCAGTCAAGGTATAAAAGGTATAAAAGGCCCATACCCCTGGCTCAAGGCGAGACGACTCTGAAGATCCAACCCATAGCTAGAGCTCACCTTGAGATCCACGGGGGCCCTGTCTGCACTGCGGTTCAACTCCTCCCTCTGCCCAACACTGATTCCTTCACTCCCTTGCAGATGTTGATCTTGAGAGATCTCCCCAGTAAACTTTGTGTGCACAAGTCTTCTTCTCAGAGTTTGTTTCCTAGTAACCCAATCTAAGACATTCATCTTACCAGTTTTCCTAAGACTTCCATTATCATAATTATTTTCTGAACGGTTTATGAGAGTGTCTCAAACCTCAGACAAGTCCAATTCAGAGCTGAAGCTTCCCTCTCCTCTTCTCCCCACCCTAAATACTTGGCTTTAGAGATGGAGTTAAAAATTCCCTCATAATTGCAGCAGAACTGTGGTTCAGAGCTTCAAACGCACATTTGTTGTCATGCATGTTACAATATGTTGTTAGGCAGGCGATTTTGTCATGTGTGAACATCATAGTAACAAAGATGGTACAGCCCACTACACACCTAGGCTATATGACAGAGCCTGTTGTTGTTAGGCTACAAACTCGTAGTGTGTTTTACTATACTGAATACAGCACTGCAGGCAATTGTAACACAATGGTTAAGTACTTATATAAAAACATAAAAACATTTATATGTAAACATAAAAACATAGAAAAAGTACAGTAAAAATTCAGTATAAAACGTAAAAAATGGTACATCTGCATAGGACACTTACTATGAATGGAGCCTTCAGGACCGGAAGTAGCCCTGGGTAAGGGGTGAGTGAACGTGAAGGTAGGTCATTACTGCATGCTACTGTAGACTTTATACACACTACAAACTTAGGCTATACTACATTAAAAAAAATAAGTAATCACACTATTATATTATAACTATGACATCACGAGGTGATAGGACTTTTTCAGCTCCATTATAATCTCATAAGATCACCTATGCATGATCTGTCATTGACTGAAATGTTGCTACGTGGCACATAACTGTACATGGTTTTTGTTTTCTTCTACAGTGTCAGAGTTTCCAATCTTTAGTTAAGTCTGTTAAATTTCCTTAAAAAACTGTCTTGTTTTTTTTTTACATTAATACTTATTCCAACTGAAATTTACTACTGTATATGGGATAAAAGATGAGGGTCAATTTTTAAATTTTCTTCCAGTTGGAGAACCAGTTATTCCAGCATCATTTATTTAAAAACAAACAAGCAAACAAACAAAATCTCATAGGCTTTTCTTCATGAAACCAACAATCATATTAAGTCATATACTGAAATCCATTTCTGGATTCTCTATTGTGTCCTACTAAATATTTTTCATAGTATGTTCTGATAACTGCGCTTCTGATATAAAATACTCTTATTGTTTGTTTGTATGATTTCCTTGGTTATCACCAGGTAATTATTATTTCAAATGAGCTTCAAGATTATTTTATACAAGTCCAAAAAAACAAAACCAAAGTCAAAAACAACTCAAAACTCCATTGGGGTTCTAATTGGGAATGCATTAAATTTACATATTAATTTTGGGAGGCTTTTAAAAATTGACAATCATAATTGTATATGTTTATGGGGTTTGGGCATGTGATGTTTTGATCAAAATATACATTGTGGATTGATTAATTCAAGCTAATTAACATATTGATTCCTTCACATGACATTTCTTTGTGGTGAGAATATTTAAAATCTACTTTTAATAATTTGGAAATATACATTATTAACTATAATATAGTTATAGTTAATATAATGTATATGTAGTATATATGTATATATAATATAAAAATATGTTATATATTATATATATAGTTATAGTTAATATAATAATATAGTTATAGCCCACAGTCACTATGCTGTGGAATAGGTCACTAAAACTCATTCCTTCTATCTAACTGAAATTTTGTATTCTTTGACCAACACCTTGGGAGACTAAAAATGTGTAAGAAAGACTTTCCACTCAAGAACATGTTTGATTCTTCATTGGTATTTCATGTTTTTATTAAGATTTAATAGCTGGTTTATATAGGTTGTGTGTTCAGGTTTTTAGTCCTATATTTTATAGTTTTAGTCATGTGAAATTTTTTTTATGTCTATTTCTGGTGCTTAGTGCTGGAGAAGATAAAAGTTACTGACTTTTATATATTTATCTTCTATCTAGCCAACTTACAAAGTTTTATTAATATAGTGCTTTTCCAGCTACTCTGGAGGCTGAGGCACCAGAATCGCTTGAACCCAGGGGCGGAGGTTGCAGTGAGCTGAGATCGCACCACTGTTCCAGCCTGGGCGACAGAGCAAGACTTTGTCTCAAAAAAAAAAAAAAAAAAAAAAGAAAGAAAGAAAAAAGAGGTGATTAAAGTACAAAGTGTTTTATTGGACTATCCACTTTTCATGGGCCATCCCATGGGACTAGATCAGAGCAGAACCAACTTTGGGAATGCATACATGGATTGTATGCTAAGATTTACAAACATTTTCAGCACATGAGACCAACTAAATCATGGAGATAAAAGTTACAACCATAGGACGCCAAAACCATTTGTTTAAGGAAGAATAATTTAGTTAAGCGACACTTTATACCAGTTTTACTTACTTTTATTTATATGAGATTTTCCCTTTGGGTGGGCCCCACGTTATTAATATTTGGCACTATACAGACCAGTCTTAGAGCGCAGGGTGATTCAGGGGCTGGATGTCATTCCAGCTCCCACCACTGTTAACATATGACACTAGGAAATCACACAACTGTGCCTGTACCTACCTCTCTCTACAATGCAACCCATGGTGTCAAGACTGGGGCTTGCACGTGGCACTCACCAATGACGTATTCCACCCTGAAGAGATCCCGTCTGGGGTCATATGGACGATTGAAGTCAATCTGAATGTAGAAAGACTGCCCTCTGCGGACAATCAGCTTGTTGTTTTCATACTTGTCAGTGTGGTGGTCCACCTTGTTAGTGTCCCATCTCTCCTTGAATAGGTGAATGCTCGTGACATTAAGAAACTCTATGAACAAGAAAAACAATTGAAGAAAATAATCGACTAACTTTAGTTTAAACACAAACTCAAAAACAAGATTTTTTTCCTGAAGAAGGCAGGTAGCAAGGTCTGCTGAATGAAACTCTGTAGGAGGCGGGGGTAGGGGGAACACTGTCTCGAGAGTCAGCCTCTTGTGACATTCTTGTCTTTGAATAGAGCTTTTTAAAGCTGTCTCCACCTTTGATCTCATTTCAGTCCACAAGGCACTCACTGTGGGATAGATGGATGCCTGTCTGGGAGATCCAAACACAGAGAAGCTAGGGCCAGAGTTGAAGTCTTCAGGTTCTCAGTCTCACGCTGGTTTTCGTTATGTTAGGAGCTTCCCATCATGTCACTGCCTCACTCTGTGACTAACCAGGCAGAAGCAGGGAATAGCCACTTCAATTTTCTTATCTTTCCAAAGGAAGGAATCAAATCTGACAAAGCCTCAAGGGGACATTCGAAGGACAAAGTTAACCATTAATCCAAAATTCTCCTTTTACCTCAAGAAGGGTCAAATGTACCCTCCCTCTGTAATTCTAAAAGTAGATCTCAGCCCTCAAATGCAGGAAAGAGAGGGAGCAGGTCTGGAGAAGGACACTAACATTTCCATGAGATAAATGTGATTGTTTTCAGTTACACAGAAACTATCCTCAGCTTTCCTTAGCTACTAACGGGCCAGTTCAAAAGTCAAAACCTGGACTGTCTGATGCCGACATTCACAGGTTTTTCTTTTGATTTGTGGCATCAGGAGTGTAAATGCCAATCATATGTTTCTTAGTTGTCTAACTTTGTATGTGTGACTTAAATTCATTTCTTCATCATAGAATGGAGACACTAATATTCATTTCATAGCCTAACATGTTCCCCATCTTACAGGACTGTGACAGGAGATGGCATGAGATGACACGTGTGCAGGCATTTAGCAAAGGGTATTACACGTGAAAGTCAGCTCTCCTCCTGCCCTTTTCCCCTTCCCCTCTGTGAATGATCATAGACGAGAGAGGGAATCATCCTAACTCCCTGTCCTCACTGTACTTTACAAGATCTAGAGACTGGTTTCTGTATGTGCATTTGGTGTTGTAAAGGGTTATTGGGGAGAAGGTGGGGTGGGAAGGTAGAAGGGTCAGCAGGGGTGCCCTGGCCTCTTGCCCTCCGTCTCCCTGCCCCTGCCTGATGCATGATTTGCCCTCATGGCTATAAGCACCGTGTGCACAGAAAACACAGCTGCTGAGCTTGTACCCATACTGGGGCATCTCCTGACATACTCGAATGGCTTCCTTTACCTTCACACGTAAATCCTGTGCAGGATGCCTGGTCCCTTTGGACCCCATTGTGTTCCGTAGTCAAAACCAAGAAGTTGGGCTCTTTAAGATCCTCTTCGGTCCTAAAGCCCAGGAATCCCTGAAACACTACTGAGCAATTCAAAGTTCAGGCAATCCTGAGTTTGAATCTCAGGTCTCAAAATTCCTTTGTGAAGGTACTTTACCTTTCAGAATCTGATTTTTCTTATTTTAAAATGAAGATACTAATACCCTAGAATGTCTATGAAGGCTCAATGAGATAACGATGCAATGGGTCTGGCCCTGTACCTGGCACATAGTGGGTCCTAGGCTTACTGTGGCTCACTGCCCCTAAACTGTGACAGCCATTTCACAGGGCATGATGCTCCATGGGTTACTCTGACTGCAGCATTACAGCAAGTAGAAAGTGCAGGATGCAGTTTTATTTTTACCTCATCTCAGAGCCCTGTTGTAGTTCAAATTCCCCTGAAGGGCACTTTCTTTCCATTATGCTGTGAGCTAAAGATGTTTAATTCTCTAGACCTCTCTATTCCAAGCTGTTATTCTCCTGAGTTCTCTGGTCTTATTAAGGCCACAATTCCCAGTGATAAACCAACCCAAGAATGAGCTGGAGAAGCACAAATGTCCCTGTTGAAAAGGAGCCTAGCAGTCAACTCCTCTGGTCCTCTTTCTTAGCACAGCGTCTTTAAAAAAATTTTTTTTTAAAAAAAGCTAAAAAACAAAGTCCTTAGAAATGGGTTTCATCAGTTCTCCACTTACCAGTACCAATGGAAGGAATATACTGATATTACATCCTTACGGAATCTCACAGAACAGCAATAGCATTTTCTCAGCCATCTGGTAAAACTACTATATCCTATATGAAACATTTTCATGGGAGCCCTACTACTTGGGCTTCTAGCTTCCATTTGAACAAAGAACTCATTATTTCATAGGGCAAACAGTCCATTTTTAAACAACTCTAATTATTTGAAAACTTCTCTTAAGATAAACTGACATCTGCTTCCTTGTAATTTTTCTAACCACGGGTCCTCGTTCTGACTTCTGGATAAATATAGAATAAGACCTCTTATTCATTTTATCTGGCACTCTCTAGGTATTTAAAGACTGCTCATAGGGTTTTTTTTTTTCTGAGTAAAACATTCTTCATTTATTTAACTGTTTGTTTGTTTGTTTGTTTGTTTGAGACAGAGTCTTGCTCCATTGCCCAGACTGCAGTGCAGGGGCACGATCTCAGCTCACTACAACCTCCACCTCCTGAGTCCAAGCAGTTCTCCCTGCCTCATCCTCCAGAGTAGCTGAGACTGCAGGCACACTCGCCACCATGCCCCACTAATTTTTGTATTTTTTTTTAATTTGGTAGAGATGGGGTTTCACCATGTTGGCCAGGCTGGTCTTGAACTCCTGACCTCAGATGATCCGCCTGCTCGGCCTCCCAAAGTGTTGGGATTACAAGCATGAGCCATCGCACCCAGATTATTTAACTGTTTTTAAGAAGTTATTTCTAGAACTTTTATCCAACACTGTGTTTGGGAATAGTTTCCATTTTGTCAATTTCTCTTTTGAAGTGTTACTTTCTGGAATAAAGTACATTACTCTAGTTGTGGTTTGAGAGAGACCATTACATCTTTTAAAATAAATAGTGTATTTCTATTATTTCAGCTCAAGATATTATTAGTGTCTTGGATACTCTTAACTCACTGTTGATTTATATTATGCATCTGATAAAGCAAAATCCTTAAAACACATTCTTTTTTTTTTTTTTTTTTTGAGACAGAGTCCTGCTCTTTTGCTCAGGCTAGAGTTCAGTGGTGCAATTTCGGCTCACTGCAACTTCTGCCTCCTGGGTTCAAGCAGTTCTCATGTTTCAGCCTCTCAAGTTGCTGAGACTGCAGGCTCACACCACCACGCCTGGCTAATTATTATTATTTTTTTTTTTCAGTAGAGACGGGGTTTCACCATATTGGTCAGGCTGGTCTCAAAGTCCGGACCTCAGGTAATCCACCTGCCTCAGCCTCCCTTAAAACACATTCTAATGTTATTTCTAGCAACAGTGGATCAAAATTCAGTTGAGGCCCCTACAAGTCACCCACTCATGTTGCTATTTGGCTATATTTATTTGTGCAATTGTTTTCTTCTGTTTAGTTTGATGTTAAGACTTTGCATGTGTTAAGTTTCTTCTTATTGAGTTTGGTTCACTGCCCCATGCTCTTAAGATAATTTTAACCCCTAAGTATGCATTTAATATATTTAATATTCTCCCTAGCTTCTTGTCCTATGGGAATATTATAAGTGTGCTATTTTATGTTGCCACTCAAGACATGGGTATAAATGTTGATTAGGTAACTGTCTAATAACTACTAGCTAAGTAAACGCACAGCAGTAGATGCTAAAAGGTGGACAGATAATTATGACACAGTGTCAGACATCTCTGACAAAGGAAGTAAAGAGTACTGAGGGGAGTTTCAGGGAGGAGCTCCAACCCACATTTACGAGGTGGAAAATAAGGAAGTTCTCTGAAGGAAGTGAGACATAAGCAGTGGTCAAAAGAGGGGTCAGTTGTCCATGTGGAAAGGGAGATGGAGAGGAATGCTTCAGGCGGAGAAAGAAGGATACCTGAAGACTGACGCAAGAGAGTGCGTAGTTGCTTAAGAAATTGAAAGATGATGGTTGGCTGAAATGTACTAGTGGGAGCCACGGTGGAAGAATAAGAAGGAGCCTGCTCATCACGCGAGCCTTGGAGACCATGTGAAGGAGTTTAATTGCATGGTGGATCCAAAGAAGAATCTGAAACAGCAAACTGACATGATTAGATTTATATATTTATATATTTAAACTGCTTCTGGTGGCAGAGTAGAAAAGGGGTTGGAAGGGGCAATGCTGGAAGGTGAACCCAGTTAAGAAGCTGTTGCTGTGTTCTAGGTGAGGGGCCATTTGAGTTTAGCCTGCATGTAGAGGTTCAAGGCGCTGCTCCTCTGGTACTCCTGGATTTGCCTTCTCTATTCGAACCCTCCCTCCCTGCATGATAATGTGCCCCTGAAATGAGGCCTGCCTTGGCTTCCCAAGCAGCTCTACCTACAAGGCAAAGTAAAGCTGGAAAACGAGAAATCTTCAAGCATTTCTTTGGTATCACTGGTAATGTCTCATCCATCCTAGTTCTCATTGCAAATGAAAACCTGGCTTTCCAGCTTTACATCCTAGCCTAGTGTACCTGGTTCATGTCTAGTGAGACTGGTTAGTGCTAGTTTTATGGAATATTGACAGGTATTGGAAGAATTAGAGCTCCATGGTTAAACCAGTGTGGAAAATGCTGGCCTAATCAAAGCTGATCAGGATTCTTTACTGAAGCATTCATGTGAGACTTTAATATGCTGATGTACACCACAGACATCCTAGAGGGGCAACGGTTTCCAAATGTAAATGACTATGGAAACTTTTCTCTCTGGAGATCTGCATTTTTCAGAATATGTTTTTGGAAATGCTTCACTACTTACTAATTGTGCAGCCTCAGAAAAGTTATTTAATCTCTCTGAGCCTCAGTTTTCTTATCTTTAATATGGGAATGAAGTACCTATCTTACAGAATGGCTGACACCTAGTACATTCTTAATAAATGTTTATTATTATTATTATCATCATTAAGAGAAGTAGAAGAGCATAGTAACAGCATAGACTGTGGAGCTAG